TATTAGAGGAATGGGACTGATGGGACTGGTGGGACTTTCATTCCCCGATTGTACGAGAATTGGAAAATCTCAAGTAAAGTCTTTCGAAAGTATCAATTTGGGACTTTCTGGACTCAAATGGAAATTTGTGGAAGATTTAATTATAATGCCTGGACCCGGACTTTTGAAAGGCTTTAATTAATTAAATTGAAATTTTTAATTGATGTTTTTCCTGGGGTGTGGATGTTACTCGACTCGCGATCAACTCGAAACCATCACTCCGGACTCAATCACACAGGCCCGTGTTCCTGATATGGAGCTCTATGTTCAGTATCCGACAAAATTGCAACTCGTGAACTAATAGGAATTTTGATTGACTGAATTAAATGGTTATTGGAGTCCCTCGTCTTCAGATCGATCGGGTTATCAGGCCAGCGCCATTTCCAATGTATAAAATACCCCGATACAAATGGGGATTGGGGTATTAAGGTGGTGTGGCCGAGGGACACGCAACGCGATGGAACGAAAACGAGTGGAAAAAATAAAAGTAGAAAAACAAAATTCACGGGAAACAAAATAAAAGTCTAGGCAATTTGTCGTTAAGTCGAAACTCATTTTCCACAACGCAGCACCTCATTACAAGACCGTTCAACTTCAATTTAACTTTTCGGTTGCGTTCAAGAGAGTAAAATTAATAAAACCCCCTTTCTCGCCCGACCGGCCGCCACCAGGAGCCTTTCAACGTCGGGTAAACATCAAACTATCGTGATGAATTGATGATGCGTCCACTTTGTGTTTTAATTAACAAACGGAAGAATGAAAAAAAAAAGAACCTCTGCTCTAGAAAATCGATCAAACAAAAACGGGGAATCGAATTCCCGCGTATTTCCACGGATATGAAAAATAGAATTGACGTCTTGCGGTCATTTAAAATCCTCCTAAAACGATAAATTTTGGAATATTGAAATAATTCCTTGCAGATGATTTAATCCATGAAATTTGTTCAAACAAGATGAAAAAATAAACAAATATGGGCCTTACAGGAAGTAATGGAAAAAAATCGAACCGAATACATCAGGTGGATATAAGCTAACCCTTCTATCAGTGCGAATACGTTAATATCCCCGAGTACTAGAGTTTAACGTGTATCTACGTGGCTCCTTTCTACTTGTATCCTCTCTTCCCCTCTCGTACATATGAGGAAGGATGAAATGCACGCTTTCATTCACACAAGGAAGTACACAGCCGGCGGCATACACAGCCTGGCTGCTAATGAGTTAGTCCGCCCTTCTCCACTCTCGCTCACCTCTCTCTCCTCATCGCCACTTTAATTGTCTAAAGCGCAAATTGGCCGGCTTTAATTAGCGTAATTATTTTCGGTCGTCCTGTTCCCTTTAAGTCCCTCCCTGACGCCTATGGACCTTTCGTCGACCTTTTCCATGACCTCTCCACCAACATTTCGAGGCTGGGATAGTGAGTGGATTTTAAATGTTGTTGTTAATTTATTTTCTGATGTTTCAAGCGATAAAACTTGTTACTTTTGACAGCCACTGATTTACAGCGAATTTATCGGCGTTTTTTTTTTATATAACAATCGGTTATCGTCTTGGGTATTCAATCGTTGGGAATTATTGGAAATCGAGGAATTCCAGGCGAATGATATTTTTTAATTCTCCATTAAATTCAATGCAATCAGGACAATTACGTCAAGATGTTTGAGAGTAGGGAGATATTACTTGTGATAAGATATATGAATCAAAGGATAAGTGAATCTCTTCTCGTGCGAATCCATTCTAAAATGTACCAAGCACAAGTGATTCCACCGAAACTCGTACAATTGCTCTATTTTCGATTTCTTGGTAATTACTAATTAGAAGCTCCCCAAGCGTCTCGCCGATGAAGTAGAACGGATAGAACAGATGGCGTCTGGTAATTGCACGAGACGAAGGCCAAGAGAGAAGCCAGGATCGAGTCATCCCCATGCACCTTCCATAATACCAAGTTCGTTAATTCTCCAACTCCTTCATTTTCCATTTCATTTATAACTGCACAAAATACCATTTTCAATCCCTCATTATTCCCCCGATAGCGAACGAGGCGATCTCTCGTCATTTGTACATGTCCACGTGTTAATCACACACCCAGTGATTACATTATTTAACTAATTGAGCAATCTAATGTGAGTGCATGCGGCCTCGTATAATTGATCACTATGTATTTTTGTTATTCGTTCTCAACCAAATGCGAAGACTGACAAACAACCGATAATTAATGTTGCCCACTGACTTTTGGCCATCAAAGATATTTGCTCAACAATAAATTCCATTCTCACTCGATCACTGATCGATGAAGACATTATGCTCTTTATTTTCGTCACATTATTACACGAATTCGCGTTAAAATGAACACAGACATGCACCATTACTGTTCCATTAACCGTTTTGACAATGTAACTAATGTTAAAACATCTCGTTATTACTCAACCGAGAAAGAGAACAATGATTGTGTCTGGTTTTTCGACGAGGGGCCGGTGCCCCACCAGAGAGAGCAAGAGAGACACGTTGAGAGAGTCGACCAAACGATCTCGACGGATAAATTAGCAATTTAATTATAGAACTGTCAGACAGTGATTAAATTAATAACGAGGAACCGCGGATCCAATTGAACCTCTCTCTCGCTTCCACTTGCTCTCTCTGTTATGTTTTTCTCGTTGTGGAGGGGAAGGCACTCTCATTTGTCGTTTTCATTGGGAATATTCCAGCATATATAAAACGTTTAGTCATTTATTCATAACAAAACGAATATCATACGAATTACGATGGAAGCGCTATCTCCATTGTTACGTAATTATCTCGCTGACTGACAGTACATGTGTTTTATGGATTTTATGGTTGAATCGACGAGTTAATGTAATCCCCTGGTATGAATCAAATATTTATGTTGAATTAATGGGATTTTCGGTAAATGGGATGAATTATTATGTAAGGGGCAAATGGATTTTATATGAATAGCTGTGGGAAAGTGTTGGCCCATTATTTTATCCATTTTTCTTTCAAACACTTATAAAAACACTTTAAGTTTTAGTTATGAAAATAATTTTGGGATAATTCTAGCGATTTCGTACGTTTGCAGAAATCCCGTGTAAATGAATATTTCAAATTTCTTCAAATAAATATTCGGTTGATTTCCATGATTATTTTATCATTTTTTTTTTGAGGCGATTAGTAGTTGAATGTCACTGACGCGGTAGTTTGGAATATTCTGCGAATTCTTTCAGCGCAATTACTGCAATACTCTGTTCTACGATGAAATCCTGTGGTTTCGCAATTCATCGCAATCATTAGTGAGACCGATCCATTGCAACTTGATTAGGCCATCCAGAACATTTTAATCCGCAGTTCGACGGGAGTTTTACCCCCCCGGAAAATCGGCCGCACGCGCGCCTAATTACTGCATAAACATGTAGCTTTACGGCTCTGCACTTTGCAAGCACTGTTCACCGCTTCAGCAAATATCGACTGCCATTAACTCCTGCATACACGAGAGCGCAACACAAACATTGGCATATTCCAACCGGTAATCCCCCTTGTCCCCCTAATTTATCCGAAAATGCCCATTTAATTTTTCACGCCCATTCAATTCACCGTTATTATCAAATTACTAATCTCGCGGTAGTGAGTTTCCAATGACTAAATGTTCCACATTTTCGAACAAATCAATTTATTTCATCGAGTCTTTTTTCTGCGGTTCATGAAAAAAAAAATTATAATCAAATTACAATTTTTTATTTCAATAAATTTTCAGTGCAATTCGAAATTGAAATTTCAAAAAATGTCACAAAGTTAAAATCTCTAGAAAATTTGGGAACCATTGCAGAAACCAAGGGATGTTGTAAATTACTGAACAATTTTTCCCTAGGGTCGGGGGACGATGATAATCCACCGTTGAAATAATATCCACGGAAATAATTCCCAGCAATCGTGCCAGCGGCCCATTGTGCCCCAGACTAATTAAATTTTCGAGGTTATTTGCCGTTTGAAAGAGCGTACTCAGCGCGACCCTAATGAGAGACAGATATTGATTCCGCTTGTTCACGGGCTGATGAACACCATAAATCAAGAAAATAATAATTACGCGTCCATTCATGAAGCCCGGGAATAAATAGGTCCGATCGATGATACTGATCGATCTTGCTCATTAGGCGCCTGCACCCTCACGCACAGGGCTTTTCACAGTAACAAGGGGGGAGTAGGGCGGAGAGAGGATAAAAAAAAGGTCAAATAGATGATGAAATGAGAGTAACAAATCCGCCTTTCCGCGAACGATGGCGAATAAATAATTAACCCCCACCAGTTTGAGGTATTTTATGCGCGGGTTACGATAGTGAGTTCGATCGAGAAATGGTACTTGCAGGGATAGGGGCCCCTGCACCAGGTCAGGATCACGATAGCGGCGAACCTCACTGGGGCCCAACCGCTCTCACTGCGCCTCTTTATCTCCACTGGGCCTGCCAATTAAAAGCCGCATTTACAACACCTTATTATATCGGCGAGCTCGTTTAGTTTGGCTATCGGCATGACCACGTTTTAACAACGGGGTGTGGACACTCCGCTCTTTATTTATTTTTTATTTAACCTCTCGTGAGAAATCGCGGGGAGGTGCTCGATGATGACGCGTATGATGTGCAGACAATTTAATTGAGATTTAATTGCATTTGATTAAATGATGATTTTTATTTGACACGGTGAAAAAGCTAACCGGTAAATACACATTCTGATGTTATTTACGATGGTTTCAAGCGGATAAATTACGAGACTAAAAGCATCAATTACGACTTCAATCTCGTAAATTCTGAGTTTGAATCTAGTCATTTACGAGCTGAAATTTTATGATTTACGATTTTAAAACCATCATTTATGTTAAGATCTTTCTGTGGGTATCTGTTATTTTATTAATACCGATAAATATTCTGATTTTGTTTAATGGTAAATTTGATGAGGATGTTTTATACTTTGTTGCAGAATGTATGGGAGTACAGCTCAGTGCGCGGGCTGCTCGCAGACAATACCTGCAGATCAATTGGTAACGAGAGCGGCGGGGGTTGTGTTCCATCCTAAGTGCTTCGTCTGCAGCAAGTGTGGGGAGCCATTATTATCCGGTGCCAAGTAAGCACTTTCTTGGAGAATATTTTCTTGGGAATCCTGTTGAGTCGATAGAACGGATCTTTCATGGAGACTAGACTTAGATTACCAATGAATTGTCCGTACCTCGACTAAAGACTTCCCTCGAAATTCCGAATAACTGATCGCTAACTGAATAATTACAAAATCCACCCGTTCAATTTCCAGATACACTCTGATGTCAGGTCAACCAGTGTGCGAGCCAGACTGGCACAAGCTGATGAAGTCGTCGTCGGTGGCGTCAACCGGTGGTGTTCAAACGATAACAGGAAACGGTGGTGCACCACAACGGAAAAACAAGGTGGGCCGACCTCGGCGAAGTCGTGAATGAGGCGGTAACCCGGTCGGTCGACCGAAAAAGGTTCAACCCACGACGCAATTGTTATCAGCGTCACCGGTCATCCCATCTGCAGCATCAATGCCTGGTACAGTGCAAACACCTCCAGCTGGTGTAATGCCATCAAGCCAGGTTGACGTTGTGGATGTGGGTGTCGGAGGGGATCCCTATTCGCCGCCGCCACCGGGTCAACAGCACTACCATCACCACCACATGGGTCTGGGTCTGGTGGGCCATCACCTCGTCCAGTCACCCCACTTGTCCCACCATCCCCAGGGGCCCTATCAAGAGTGGGGCCACTGGGGTGAATCGTGCGATTAAAGACAACAGACTATTAATAATACCACCGTGACATTAACTGTTCTTGTGCCGCGAGTGTTGATCTACTCAACTCAAAACCACTCCAAACAGACTCACTAGTGATTTTCATTATCAATAGCCTCAAACTATCGTGGAACTCTGATTTATAGAGACCAATGCCCAACGGTTTTTGAGACTAAGTGCAAAAGAACGAAAGAGAAAGAGAGGGTGGAAAATTAATGGATCCATTTCACGGATTGTTGCTCGATGCGACCTCTCGAGAATCACCTGATTACTTTGGATTCGACATTTAATCATTCTGCGACTTTCCAACAAAAATAACACACACAACTCCGTGAAAAAATATAACCAAACTCGATGTACTTTTTGCCCTGACTACTGCGCACGCGATTGAAGATAATTCAACAGAATCGCATTGATTGGACTTTTCAGGGGTGACTTGCTCAACGATTGTTTGCTCATTTTTATCATACGTAAAACCTCATCACCGAGGCAATGCATCAACGCTCAAGCCTTCCCTACATACTTCACCACGACAAAAAAAATGAAAAAAAAAAAAACACCTCTCAAACTGCATAAATTATTATTACCAAGAATGAAAGACGATTCAGTGCATGTTAACGAGCCACCGTCAGATGGTGGGCCAGGTGGTGACGGGGGCCCTCCAAAATGCCACCAGAAAATAAAGAGTCATTACCATTCCAAATTAGCCGAATGCGGCAGGTGGTTGGAGTACTGTGACGAGACGACTGGTGGATGGGAAAAAAAAAAATCTCACCATTTTTTCTTTCTCCAATCAGGATTAAACTATAAAATACGGGCGTAATGGAGGGGGGTGGAGGAGGGGGGCGAGTGAAAAAAGGTGAATCAGAGGGAGAGGAGTTGAAGAGTTTAAGGGAAAAGGAGTCGCAAAATGAGTGCGATTGTGAGGAAGGTTTTGGAAAGGGGGTGAGGGGACAGGGGGAAGGGGGGTCCACCTCTTAGAAAATTATTTTTCTTTCAAAATCATCGGGCCTTTCGCCTCGGTGAGTGCAAAAGAGGTGACGCCTAAGTTCGTTAGGCGTCCCTTGTTTCCGTGACCGAGGTTAACGGTTACACTTTCATGGAGACCCCATTGGGCAATGCCCCCCCTCGCCCCCC